CCTTATTCATGAAGCAAGTCACCAAATCACACCTGAATTCCTATTGTATTCCTCCAGTTTTTGCCACTGTAAGTCTGCTATTTTAATGGAGCTTTACCAGCATAAAAATGTAGAAAGGGCAGTGGTGCATCATGTGCACCAGTCAAACTTTGAGTAATGGGGTCTTTGAGAATGGAATTAAGATTGTATGGGCCTTGTGGTGACTACAGATAGGCCCTAAATGAAAGTTCTGGTTCAAATATCCCAGGGCCCTGGCAAAAACAGCACCTGCATATGGATTCATGCACTTTTACCTGAAGCTGTCTCTACCTTATGGGAGTAAAATATGAAACTCAAAAAAGTTCTGAACTCAACTTGGCAAAAAACATCCAGAACTTGGGTTGCTTACCTGAACCTTCTTAGCTAAAGATACTGGGCTGGGAATGTTATTTGAAGGGCTTTTGTTAGTATGCTTAGAGCTTCTGCATCCTGACCCAGCAAGCAAAGAGGAAATGGTGACACTCCAGAACGTGAAGGATGACTCAAGGTGGAAATGAGTTCTGAAAAAAATGGGCAATGCACCACGAGCAGGTTAGAGCACTGGGGTTCTTATTTTCAAGATATTTTGGGGAGTGACAAGTTACCAGAGTGTTACCAGAATGTGAGAAAAAGATATCTCATCAGAGGTAAGATGATACACTGGGAAAGTTTACTCAGGGCAGCATTGTGCCACAGCTGGGCTGTCCCATAGCATGTTGTGCTACCTACCTACCCCTGCATGCAACTCCAAACCCAGATATATGCAAGCAGGGCCACTTCAGGGTCTCCATTCCCAGCCCAGCAACCAATGTCAAGCACACTGGAGACCAAGGTCTCAAGAGTGCCTCAAGGGCTGGCACTCTAGAATATCTTCACCAGTGTATATCTGAGTTTGGAGCATGTGAGTGGAAATAGGTAGGGCAGCATATGCTGAGGAAAAGCCTAGATGAGTCGCACCATGACTGTGCTGCCGATATACCCAAAGTATACGCACATGCAGGCATGTGGGCTTGCAGCAGCTCAAATAGAAGCAGCACAAATTTGAGTTGGGGCCTTTTGCCTCAGTGCACATGCCTGGGCATGCACTTTTGTGTGGGGCCTGCCTGGCTCTTCTGAGATCTCCGAGCGAGGCAAAAGGGGGAAAGGGGCCAGGAGGCTTCCCTGGCTGACCAGAGAAATCCAGGGCAGCCTAAGGGACAAAAGGGGAGCACATAAAAAGTGGAAACAGGGAGAGATCACCAAAGACGAATATACCTCCTCTGCTCGTGCTTGTAGGGAGGCAGTTAGACGGGCCAAAGCTGCCATGGAGCTGAGGAAGGCAACCCAAGTAAAAGACAACAAGAAATTGTTTTTTAGATATATTGGTAGTAAAAGGAAGGCCCAGGGAGGAATAGGACCCCTACTAAATGAGCAGAAGCAATTGGTGACGGACAGAGGGGACAAGGCTGAACTCCTCAACGAGTTCTTTGCCTCAGTGTTCCTAAGTAAGGGGCAAGACAAGTCTCTCACTGGTGTTGTAGAGAGGCAGCAGCAAGGCGCCAGACTACCATGCATAGACCCTGAGATGGTGCAGAGTCATTTGGAAGAACTGGATGCCTTTAAGTCGGCAGGCCTGGATGAGCTCCATCCGAGGGTGCTGAAGGCACTGGCCGACATCATTGCAGAGCCACTGGTGGGAATATTTGAAAGCTCGTGGCGCACG